GGACCTAGGTCTCCAACCATCTTCTAAAAATGTTTCTAAACACTATTCTGTAAAATTTTTTATTATAAAATGTAAAATTTCTACAAAAAGTACATAAAACACATATGTACAGTTTAATAAATTGTTGTAAGGGTAACAGCCATGTAACCTGCACCCAGGGGTAAAAACAGACCATTGTTTATAGACAAAAAGTAGTCCTAAAATATAGTAAAACTGTTGAGAACATTAATTCAGGAATCAGATGACCTGTATTTGAATCCTGACTCTACAACTTGGAGAACTTGAGTAAATGATCAAACCTTTCTGAGCTTTAGTTTTCCAAAGCATAAAATGGAGATACATACTGATAATTAGTATGGAAAATAAAAAGATAAAATGAGGAAAATAATGTTAATAGTACATGATAAGGTTGTTGTAAAGAAAAAAAATTTAAAAAGCCCATAAAACACTTACCACAGTGCCTGGTGTGTGTTTTCCCCTGAGCAGATGATGGCTACTATTATTATTCCACTTGCAGAAGTTCCTGTTCAGGTGCTGACTCTCTTGGTTTAACCTTAGATTACCGGAGGGGAGGATCTTGCTTAATACATAGCAACTGAGGAGATAGAGGTTTCCTCATTCAGTGTAATTATCCTCTTAGACATTGTCTTCCTGGTGAATTCCCCATATAAATTCTTACATAAATCTGTCCAAGGAAACTCCTCTGTGGACGAGGAGACTCCTTCCTCATAATTGGGTGGGGAAACTTAGAGGCCTTTCAGGCCAGGCCCTCAGCAACTCCAAACTGAGCTGCCCTTGAACAAATACCAGTCATTGAATTCATTCACTCAGTAGGTGAAGTAGAGTGGAAACATTTTAATCTCCCTTCTTTTCTCCTTTTCTCCTTTGTACTAGAGATGTAAGCCTTGAAATGCTATTAAGGAATGTGCAGGCTTCACAGTGGCAGGAGGCTATCTGAGAGATGGATAAGACTCTATAGGCATGTTGGACTTGGGAATCAGGGTCATAGTCATTTACTCATTCAGCAGATAGTTATGGAATACCTGTGTGACAGGGACTGTTTCACAATATGGGATACATCCATGACTTGCTAAATCTATTAAGACTTGTTTTATGGCCCAGCATACAGTCAATCAATCTTTTTTTTTTTTAGATAGTCTCACTGTGTTGTCTGGGCTAGAGTGCTGTGGCGTCAGCCTAGCTCACAGCAACCTCAAACTCCTGGACTCAAGCAATCCTCCTGTCTCAGCCTCCGAGTAGCTGGGACTAGAGGCACGTGCCACCATGCCCAGCTAATTATTTCTATATATATTTTTAGTTGGCCAATTAATTTCTTTCTATTTTTAGTAGAGACAGAGTCTCACTCTTGCTCAGGCTGGTTTCGAACTCCTAACATTAAGCGATACACCCGCCTCAGCCTCCCAGAGTGCTAGGATTACAGGCGTGAGCCACTGTGCCCGGCCCAGTCAGTCTATCTTGCTTAATGTTCCTTATGCCTCCCAATAGCCTTATGAAGAGAGTACTATTAATATTTACTATTGTCCCAAATTTACAATGGAGAAAAATGAGGCTTATCTAGTTTAATTTCCCTTAGTCCTATTCAGCTACCAAGTGGCAATGCTGGAATTTGAACTCAGATTTCCTTTTTTTTTTTTTCTTTTTTTGAGACAGAATCCCATTCTGTTGCCCAGGCTAGAGTGCAGTGGTGTCAGCCTAGCTCACAGCAACCTCAAACTCCTGGGCTCAAGCAATCCTTCTGCCTCAGTCTCCCAAGTAGCTGGGACTTCAGGCATGTGCCACCATGCCCGGCTAATTTTTTCTATGTATATTTTTATTTATTTATTTTTTTATGTATATTTTTAGTTGTCCAGCTAATGTCTTTCTATTTTTTTAGTAGAGACAAGTGTCTCGCTCTTGCTGAGGCTGGTCTCGAACTCCTGAGCTCAAATGATTAGCCCGCCTCAGCCTCCCAGAGTGCTAGGATTATAGGTGTGAGCCCCCACACCTGGCCTGAACTCAGATTTATAACACCATAATCTGAGCTCTGCACTTTCTCTTTTACATACAGAAAGGAGGAAAAAATTGTTTTTTCATCTTATCATTCATTTGACTGCAGGTAAAGTTAATAAACTTCTAAATAGGGTCCTCTGAAAATAATATTTGTATTTGAGTCATGAGGATTTTCATCAAATAATATTCAATAGTGGATAATACTACTACTATGAGTTGCCAAGAAGAAATATTTAGTAAAAAACTATATTTTTGGTATATTTTAATTGGTAAAAAGCAATTAAATTTTGCTACAATTGATGATTATGTAACATGATTAAATTAGACATGGCATCATTTATCATCCGACAAATTTTGTTTTGCTATTGAAGAATGATGTGTTTAAGTTTTTTTTAATTTATTTTTTTTCTTTTTTTCAAAGAGCATCTTTGCAGTGTTTAAGTTTTAAGGCTGGATTTTCTTTCTAGACACTTTCAACTACTACCTAATATGCACAATATTAGGCAATAGTTAACACATTTCTTCCAAAGTTGTGAGTGTTATTTGGAAAATTAACCTGAACTAAATAAAAATGGTATATAACATATCAACAGAAATTTAATTTAGTATTAAGTTGAACCATATGAAGTTGCAATTTTCACAATTAAAAATGATCAACTATTGCCAATTTCATATCGTTTAATTTAATAAATTCTATTATTCTTGGCTGGTCCGAAGGTAGTGAGTTATCTCACGTGATTGTTCACAGTCAGTTACAGATTGAACTCCTTGTTCTACTACTTTCCCCCCTCCTCACTACTGCACTTGACTAGTCTAAAAAAAAATTAAAAAAAAATAAATTCTATTATTCTATATGGATGAATTCTGCAGTAACTAGAAAGTAAGTTTCAATAACAGAAGGTTTTGGGGGTTTTATTTACCACCGTCCACACAGCAGACACTCAGAAAACAGTTGTTGAAACACTGGGCCCAGTGGCTTTTGCTTGTAATCCCAGCTACTTGGGAGGCTGAGGTGGGAGGGTCGATTGAGGCCAGGAGCTCCAGACCAGCAGGGCAACATAGGGAGACCCCCTTGCAAAAAACAAACAAACAAAAAAAGAAGTTGTTGAAGGGATGAATTAGGAAAGCAAATAAATAATGAGAACTAACCTTCCACCCAACATTACATGCCTTTGGGTTTAGATTTAGGGTGGGAATAAGAAAAATAACATGATACAGATGATTTTAAAAAGTTTAATTAAAAAACCTAATTTGCTCAAGAGAATTGAAAACATTTGTCCACACAAAAACTTGTACATGAATGTACACAGTGCCATTATTCTAATAGCCAAAAAGGAATAAAACACAAATGTCCATCACCTGATGAATGAATAAACCAAGTGTAATATATTCATACAATGGAATATTCAGCCATAGAAAGGAATGAAGTACTTGGTACATGCTACATCATGGATGAACTTTGAAAACCTTATGCTAAGTGAAAGACAGGCACAAAGGCCCCATATTGTATTATCCATTCATATAAAATGTCTACAATAAGCAAAATGATAGAGCCACATTAGTGGTTGCCAGGAGCTGAGGGGGAGGGACAATGGAGAGTGATTACTAATGGCTATGGGGTTTCTTTTTGGGGTGATGAAAACATTCTAGAATTAGATGATGGTGATAGTTGTACAACCTTGTGAATATACTAAAAATCACTGAATTGTATGTATATTTTAAAAGGGTGAATTTTATGGTATGTGAACTCTATTTCTTTTGTAAAGTGGAAAAAAACTCTTAAGATCTCCTCTTCAGAACATGTCAAAATACATTATAAAATAATAGACATGTGTTTACAAATCTGAGAGTATTAGGAAATGTTCCCTTGTTTAATTATAAACCGAGTGGAATGTTTGCAGATTTCAGTAATCTGACAGCGAACATTAAGAGGATTAACCTGACTTCCCCAGTGTTAACAATACCAATTTAAACTACATCATTCAAAAACTACGTGGTCATATTAAAGTAATTGTAGCGATAACTTCCATGAAAAAATATAAATTAAATTAATTACCTATTAAAGCTGTCATCATTTAAAATACCTCATATTTATATAATGCTTTTACTTCCTTAATTATGAATTGTGCCTTAAGAGCTAAGGTATGAGAGAGTCACATCTCTAACCACTTAATTAAAGGTAAAGAAGTGGGTGGGTTGGACAGAAATTTATTAGCAATGCTGACATTCCAGATTGGAACACAAAAGGAAGCAGGATTTAAGAAATCTAAATTTTAGCCTTCAATGTAGATAGTTAAATTCGAACTAAAACTGTCACATCCTGGAGTACAATTTGTAAAAAGAGAAAAACAAAAATTGAGATACAACAAATACGCATAAAGTGTACACTTTGTTAAATGTAGAATGTGAATTGTACAAAGTGGACACTCCTGTGGAACCAGCATCCAGATCGAGAAGTACAACGCAGCAACCAGAACTAAAGTTTTTTTTTTTTTTTTTTTTGAGAGGGAGAATATTAAAGTAGTTTAAATCCCCCCCAAGAGCAGCCTCTCGATCACACCACAGTACATTTGGGGCAGAGGCGGGGAGGAGAGGACCCTGAAGTGGCGATGTGTAAACTGTATTTTGCGCTGTAGCTTGCTTGATGGCGAACTGACTGACGGCAGTATCTACAGCAGTTTACCTTCATTGGAACCACCCCAATTGTCTTTCTGAATTCAGAGATTCAGAGATAGCTCCAAAACTAACGCATGACTTGAAATTTTTCCAGAAGTCGTTCGCTGGAGCAACACATTTGGACATTTTGCAAGAAAAGTTTAATCAAACTTTGGGAGCAGGACTCTTGGACTCTCTTTCAGAAGGAAAACAGTCCCCCCTAGACCTTACCCCGCCTCCCCCAGTCCCACACTCCACGGTAATACCCGAAGCGGGCGGGGCTCGGAGCGCGTCTCCAGGTGGTGCGGGATCCCCTCCCGCCCCCGGGTAGCCCGAGTCCCTCCTCTGCGTCCCCCCGACGCCCCGTCCCCACGGGCCGGAACGCAGCGCTGTTCCTTTAACACCGCGCGGGAAGGGTGTATGGAGAAGGGCTGAGTCCTCCCGCCTCCTCCTCCACCGCTCCCTTCCTCCCCCTCCGTCCCTCCCTCCCATCCGAGTTTCAGGTGAATGGGTCACTAAGGAAGGAGGCCGGCCACACCACACCTTCTCGCCAGCGCCCACTTTCCCCTCCCTGCTTCCTCTGGCGCAGGCGGCAGGACTCCGGGAGAGCGAGCCGAGCGCCGAGGAGCAGCAGGTGGGTCTCGCCGGCGCGGGGCGGCCGGCCTCCCGCACCCCTCCACCCGGCCTGGAGTTGGTGCGCATGCCCGGGGGCAGGGCGGCCAGGGTGGGGAGAAGGGGGGTGGGAGGAGGGCTGAGTCCCCGGCCTCGGCTGCTAGCTGGGCGTCCGCGCGGCGTGTGGCGCGCCCGCGGCCAGGTGAGCGCGCTCCTTGGCTCCAGCGGCCCCAGGTGAGTCGGGCCCAGCTGCGGTGAGTGGGTGCGAGTCGGGCGCCGAGCCAGGGGCGCGCGGTAGCCGGAGAGTCCCTGCGGGGGGCCCGCGGCGCCCGTGGCCGGTGGGGGAGGCGCGGGCGGAGGACGCTCGGCGCTGGTTTCGGTGGCGGTTTCGCCTGCGGGCTGGGGCTCGCGGGAGCCGGAGAGGCGCGGTCCGCCGAGGGGAGCGCCGGGTGACTGGGGAGGCTGCCCCCCGGGGCGAGGGGCGACTGGGAGCCGCCGATGTGCTTGATTCGGGGAAAGGCTTTAAGCGACCAGTGCCCAGGCGTCGCGCACAACTTTTCGCTTTTATGGGAGCGGGAGATCTGTGAGCTGCGGGAATCCTGCCATCGGCTCCGGGGCTGCCGTTTGGGCGGTCCTCCAGGAGGGGATTGCTGCGCCCGCGTCCTGGGGTCCTATCCCGAGCGCGGGGGCACTTGAGCCGGTCGCTGCCCGGGGAGGCTTGGATCCAGGGGGACCTCATCATTTTCGCCCCCACACACCCCTTTGGGTATCCTGGGGACCGGGAGTGGCTAGATTTAACCTGTGAAATATTCCTGGAGTCACGGTGCAGGCCACACTGGCTGCTTTGAATCCACTTAGTGCGAGTAGTGTTGACCCGCGTCGACTTAAGCCGGGGGGCGGGCAGCTAATTTCGAGTGAGGCTGGACTTCGAGGGAAGCTGCTCGCGCTTCGCATTCTCATCCGTGACCGAAAAGGCCGCCGACAGGTGGGCGGACCTGCCTCCGGGCGGTGCCTGCGCGGCCGGCCGGGGCGCGCCCTGCCCGGGCTGCCCCTGGGCGTCGAGGGGCGCGCGGACGCCGGGACCCGCACCGGCCGGCCGCGGGGATTCAGACCCCCAGGGCCGGCCCGCGCGTCGCCGGGGAAGGTGCGCGCGGGGCGGGGGCTCGCGGGACAAAATGGCCTCTGCGCCGCGGGCTGGGGCGGCTCGGGCCCCTCGCGTCCCCGGCGCAGCGGCCGAGTCCGACGAGAAGCCGCGGCATCCTCGGGCGGGACCCGGGCTCGCCGGGCAAACCGCCCACTTGGGAGTTACCCGGGGCGGGGAGGAGGCAGCTCTCCAGGCAGGTCCGTGTGTGGCCCTCACGCACACAACAGGTGCATTATTGGGATCCCTGGAAAACAGAAACGCTTCCCATTAAGGCAGTTCTGATGATTCCTGCTGGGATCGAAAGCTAGTTCGTTCCAGACGGAGGTAGGTTCTCACAGCACGCATTCCCAAGTGTAACAGTTGTGCTTTTGCACTGTACACGCGAATCTTTATTTTCTTAGTGGTGCTTTAAAATAGACATTTTAGGCTGGGCACAGTGGCTCACGCCTGTAATGCCAACACTCTGGGAGGCTGAGGCTGGAGATTGCTCGAGCTCAGGAGTTCCAGACCAGCCTGAGCAAGAGAGAGACCCCGTCTCCTACTATAAATAGAAAGAAATTAGCCAAACAACTAAAAAAATAGAAAAAATTAGCCCGGCACGGTGGGTGGCACATGCCTGTAGTCCCAGCTACTGGGGAGGCTGAGGCAGGAGGATTGCTTGACCCAGGAGTTTGGAGATTGCTGTGAGCTAGGCTGACACCACGCACGCACTCTAGCCAGGGCAACAGAGTGAGACTTTGTCTCAAAAAATAAAATAAAATAGACATTTTAAATGATGGGGCCTGAAGAATAGATTTCACTTCGGACAACGCAACCTTTTTTTTTCTTTTGTAGTTTTGTGTTTATTAATTAGATGCCTCCTTTGTTAGGAGATGGAGAGGAGGCTAGGAAGTGAGGTAAAACAGATTCTCTACCTTTCTGCAGCTTCCAGTCTATCTAGAGAAATAATGGGCAGTCCCTTATATATATGAGGCACTGTGCTAAAAGCATTTTGTATTTTTTATCATTTAATAATACCAACAACACTAAAAGGCAGATCTTATTAGAACTCGATTTTCTTTTCTTTTTTTAGGTCACCCAACATAAACTTTGACTATAGAACTCGATTTTAAAAATGAGTGAACGCTTATGGGGGAAACACATTGCAGATGGGCTGGCTTGCAAACTGTTGAGCTAATCAGGGAAATTATATCAGAAACAGTAGTCCTTGATATTCCAGCACCATAACCAGATTTGGGGAATTTTTGTGGGTTTCTCTACTGTGGACCAGTCCCCATAGCCTGGTAATAAGTTTTCCTGTATCTTGCTTGATGTGGTAAAATTCCTGTTTTCTTCTAAAGATAATGTTGGGTTACTGCATTTTCACACTGATAAAAGGTTACTTTTTATCACATAAATTAACCATACAATATCTTTCACCATCTTGGAAACCTGACAGAGGGAAGTTTTCTTTTCTTTCTTTACTTTTTTCTCTCCGTGTTGCCTGAGCTAGAGTGCAGTGGTGTGATCATAGCTTGCTGCAACCTCAAACTCCTGGGCTCAAGTGATCCTCCTGCCTCAGCCTCCTCAGTAGCTGGAACTCTAGGCAGGTGCTACCATGCCTGACTAATTTTTTCTATTTTTGGCAGAGGCAGGGTCTCACTCTTGCTCAGGCTGTTCTCAAACTCCTGAGGTCAAGTTATCCTCCTGTCTTGGCCTCCCAGAGTGCTAGGATTACGAGCGTGAGCCGCCTCACCCAGCAGATTCTGCCTTTTAAATAAGCTCCCAAGTGATGCCTATATTGTTTGTACTTTTTTCCCCTTTCCCTCACACTCTAAGCCAGGCTTCCTCACACTGCAGCCCGTGGGCCACATGCTGGTGTTTTTGCCTGTGTGTTTTTTACTTCAAAATAAGATATGTGCAGCATGCATAGGAATTTGTTCATAGTTTTTTTTAAACTATAGTCCGGCCCTCCAATGGTCTGAGGGACAGTGAACTGGCCCCCTGTTTAAAAAGTTTGAGGACCCCTGCTTAAGCACTTAATTACTTTTGCTGAGCTGAACTTGGAAAAAAACACACTTACTGGGTGTTAATTATATGGAAAACTTCAAGGCCTTCACTGCTGGACTGAAATCCCACCTCCGATATGGACTGTTGGTTTTATTAATATTAAGTGCTGATTGAACATCACTTTGTTCCAGGGACCAGGGATAGGTCATGGTCAAGACAGACATCTGAGTGCTTGTGAAGCTGGCATTCCAGATGGGGTGGAGATGGTAGCACTGAAAAAGAAAGAAAAAATAACAATTTTAGGTATGAGGGGGACATTTAATCTGAAAATAAAACAAATCTGCTGTGATGTTGAGGGGGGCAGGGGAGCAGGCAGGGACTTTGTGGTTTCCTGGGCTTTCGGGGTGCAGGGCTGCAAAGTACCTGTCTGCTCCCCTGCCCTGCTCCAAGAATTAAAAGGAAAAAAAAAATTGCTGTGATGGAGTGAGCAACTGTGAGGGCATCTCTGAAGAGATAACATTTGATCTGAGACCTGAACAGCAGGTGCCTGCTGTGTAGAGATCTGGGCTTTCTAGACTCCTGCAAGATCAATACCCTTCATGGATTGATACCTTCATTGTAAACAATGATTCTCAAATATGTGATGTGTTTAAAAATCATCTGAGAGCTTATTTAAAATGCAATTTTTTTTTTGAGACAGAGTCTCACTTTGTTGCCAGGCTAGAGTGAGTGCCGTGGCATCAGCATAGCTCATAGCAGCCTCAAACTCCTGGGCTCAAGTGATCCTCCTGCCTCAGCCTCCCGAGTAGCTGGGACTACAGGCATGCACCACCATGCCCGGCTAATTTTTTCTATGTATATTAGTTGGCCAATTAATTTCTTTTTTATTTATAGTAGAGACAAGGTCTTGCTCTTGCTCTGGCTGGTTTTGAACTCCTGACCTTGAGCAATTTGCCTGCCTTGGCCTCCCAGAGTGCTAGGATTACAGGCGTGAGCCAGGTCGCAATTTTTTTTATTTAAAAAAAAAAACACTCTGTTGCCCAGGCCACAGTGCTGTGGCGTCAGCCTAGCTCACAACAACCTCAAACTCCTGGGCTCAAGTGATCCTCCTGCTTCAACCTCCCAAGTAGCTGGGACTACAGGCATGTGCCACCATGCCCAGCTAATTATATATATATATATATATTTAGTTGTCCAGCTAATTTCTTTCTGTTTTTTAGTAGAGACAGCATCTCACTCTTGCTCAGGCTAGTCTCGAACTCTTGAGCTCAAAGGATCCACCTGCCTCAGCCTCCCAAAGTGCTAGGATTACAGGCGTGAGCCGCCATGCCCAGCCTAAAATTTGGCTGAGCTTGGTGGCTCACACCAGTAATCCTAGTATTTGGGGAGGATGAGGTGGGAGGATCCTTTGAACTCAAGAGTTTAAGATCAACCTGAGCAACATAATGAAACCTCATCTCTACAAAAAATAGAAAAATTAGGTGGGCATGGTGGCACACAGCTGTAGCCCCAGCTACTCAGGAGGCTGAGGCAGGAGGATAGTTTGAGCCTGGGAGTTTGAGATTGCAGTGAGTTATAATGACACCACTGCACTCTAGCTAGCGCAAGCAACAGAGGGAGACCCTGTCTCACACACACACAAAAGTAATTTCTGACACAGCTAGTCTATTACAAGATCTGCTTAATTTCAAAATTTGAGGCAATTTACTAATGATGTACCTATAAACAGAATCATTCAATATCATGAACAACTTAAACTTTTTTTTTTTTTTATTTTGGCATATTATGGGGGACAACTTAAACTTTTTAAAGGCAAATGACAATTGCTGCATGTGATGTAAAAGGAACAGACTGTTCAAATATAATAAAGTTTATTTTTCACTTATTGA